CCCCCCAGTTTTTCCACTAATCAGGAAAGCTTTCTGTAAAAGCTCTTACTCTGAAATCAGAGGATCAGAAAAGGATTGCATGGTGGAATGTTACAATCTGCTTCCACAGCGATTAGTGTCATTGGATAGAAAGCCCCTTGGATAACACAAATTGAAAGAACAAGTGTGCTATACGTATTCTCAGGTTGTCCTCAAGTGTAAGAATCCCTCAAAATGTAACCGACAAACATGAACAGAAGTCAGTGCATAAATTCTCAGTTAAAAATACTTGAAACTGAAAGATCTATAAGTAGGGCCTACACTCCTAGAATACTTCTTGAACAGCTATAGACACCATGAAACATCCTGGTCCCAAATAGCCTCGCAGATTAAAATTTAGTTTCTTCACCTATTTCACAATCAATTTGTTTTACTTCTGCCTGGTGAGATTGCTAAAAAATCCCTCAAACCCAACCCCCACCCCACAAAACCGTCAGAGGTCACTGAGAAGAGCCTGCCGGAGTTACTGGTACAAATCAGAGCTTATTGCACTTAGACATGAATAAGGCAAAATAACAAACTAAAAATAAAGGGATAAACTGCCCCCTCCCCAGAAACCAGACGCCATCCTCTTCCTCTAGAGCATGCCTCATCTTCCCTCGCATTGAAAACAGTTCCGACCCCAGCACAGACCTGTTCCCACATGGCATGGGATCATTGCAGGATCTCCTGCTTGCAGGAATGTGAAGGGCTGAAGGAGTCGGATGTATTGCAGAATGCCAAAAAGACTCCTCAAAAGTGGCGATACACCCACAACTGTGTTTGGCATCCAGTATTTTGTGTTAGTGTCACCAAATACAGAAGTGGAAAATAGAATGATTACTACTAGGAAAAAAAAAAAAAAAAAAAAAAAATGGGGTTTTGGGATAAGCAAAAAATTTTTTTTCTCATATGTATTTAATAAAGCAGCATCTCTTTGATTCTGTTCTGCTTATTTGATTGTCTAAAGCTGATATCAACATAAGAATAGTTACAGTAAGTATTTGAGTTCATTAAATAACCCGAGATCTTTACATTGTTTAACAGTATCCTTTGTGATTTATAATAACTGACAGATATCCTAGAAAACAACTGCAGGTCTTTATAAG